CACAGATTGGGAATCTCGAGCTTGTAGAATAGCTTGTTATTTTTCAATCATAATGGAATTAGTAAATGAAAATTTAAATTCCAACTTTCAATTCAATTTCGAGGATGGAGCGATTTCGAGCCTCATTGAGTAGTAAAAATAGGAATAAAAATAAATCTACAGATCTATCAATGGCGCATAATGTCACAAAAACCAGTGACAAATTGTTTAAACATATTTACCTCGGATAGCCACGAAGATAATTGCAAACAATTCGAGTTGCTTTTACGTAATGAAATGAAACAGTACTCCTAGTATGTAAATGAACGAGACAAATATTGAATATTTTTTTCGTGCAAAGAAACGAAAAAAACGTCTTTACAGTATGTTGGTAATTCTTAATTCTAAAAGGAACGCAAAATCAACGCAGAAAAAAATAAAGATCTTGTCGGTCAGAAAATCCTCAAAGGATAGGAATATTTTCTCAAGAAGTAATCCATTAAATCTCCAAACTAAATAACTGTGATAAACGAAGGAGGTAAAAGCACTACACTTTGCATTCGTTCCTTGTCATTTCATTACGTAAAAGGAACGAGTCGTTCTGTTTGACGACCGGTAGGAACGAAAGCCAAAAAAAAAAAAAAAAGAAAGAAAAAAAGAAATGCGACCTGCGTATCGAAATGCGCGTTTATTCAGGAAATTTGTATTCAGAAGAATGCAAGGACGATGAAGCAATAATGTGGTCACGAGGTTTCGCGAGGGACCATCGCGCCGCGAGGAGACGTTTGACTTATTTGTGTGACATTGCCATCTTCCCGACAAGACCATTGTTTTTACACGAATCATGTGAAATTATTAATACCCAATCGAACGACCCGGCAAGGTTATCGCCACGACTTTTCAATATTAAACTGCTTGAAAAAAGACGAACGCCACGTGTGCCATTTTGCCAAAGGTTAATAACTCGTCTTTCGCGGATATAATAAGACAGTGTCTAAGTAAAAATTTTTCCAAATATATATCATATATTTAAAAGATAAAAAATAATAATAATAATAATAATAATAATAATAATAATAATAATAATAATCCTTCGAATTTTAATTAACAGCCAAGAGAAGAGACAAGAACAAACACTTTTTAATTTCGTTCGTACCTTCTTGCTGCACGGCAAGTCTAGGGATGCAAAATTTTAAAGAAAACGTATTAATAAAGCGAACGAAACTATTATTAGAAATGATAGTGGACAGTCGTGCACGCAAGATTCTCAATAACGCTATTTCCAGTGAAGAAGAGACCAATTATCGACGTTATCGGTATCCGTTGCACTCGCATGGCAATAAATCTGCACCCTATCTCGGACAAAGTGCTACGCTCGAAGAAATGAAGATTCGTTCATTCATTGTCAGCTGTCGAGGAACACGATGACTAACTGCCACATGGAAAATTCTATAAATACGTCATCGCATTTTGTTGCCAGAGAAACGCGGAATCATTCAAAACGCAACGCTCGCTGCGAGACGAGATTTTTTTTATTATTTGTGTTGTGCAACTAGCTATCGATTGCAAAGTTTGATGAGTTTACTAAACGACGATGCCAAGCATTGTATATTTCGAAAAGAAACTGCTTTTCGTTGACACGTTACGTCGTGATAAATAGCTGCTGTTTGAGACTCAAACACGCTTGTGAACACTATCGTTCGTAAATATTTAAACACTTTTTTTCAATTGGATGTAACTGTTGGCTTTAGATAAAAACTGACTTGTTTCAACTGTTTGAATTAATTCGATTGTATAAAGACTTTATTAATACGTTAACGTTATTGTATTTTATTTCTGTAATAGAATATGATTGAAGTGACTAAAATATGAATTAATTACTGAAACAACTGTAACTTGAATAGAATTAATAATTTTTTTTTCTTATCAATTTCTACAAATATTTCTTCTCATTATCACAATTAAAAAAATGAAAGCACCGATTCATAATTCATTATAGTACAATTGCGAGGTTCTACATGTCCAATTAAATCTCGAGTCTATAAATTGTTATTTAAGTTTCAACATGTAGCAGAAAATTGAGCTTAAACCTTCGAATAAACCAACTTAAATAGTGATTGGCTAAAGCTCGCGCGCTAAGAATTTCAACAAGCAAACTTAAATTTAACTCAAATCTAGACTGAAATAGTCAAGATTCAAATGAAATAAATTTCATAAGACATTCTCAAAATTTACGGAAAATTTGCAGAAAATTTTTAAAATCTTCACCCATCCAAAATTCGAAAAGTACCCTAACTAATAGTACTTGATACTAATCTTTCATTATGTATCAAGATGTAACGTTACAACAATCAAATTGAATTCAGATTTAATGAAACGGAAAACAAGAAATTATCTGAATTTTATAAAATACCAAAATCTAATCCAAGAAAGACAATTTCTTTGTAAGAATTATCTAAATTTTATCCAAATTTTACTAAATTTTACTAAATTATCTAAATTTACTAAATTATCTAAATTTACTAAATTATCTAAATTTACTAAATTATCTAAATTTACTAAATTTTACTAAATTATCTAAATTTTACTAAATTATCTAAATTTACTAAATTTACTAAATTTACTAAATTTTACTAAATTATTTAAATTTTACTAAATTTACTAAATTTTACTAAATTATCTAAATTTACTAAATTTTACTAAATAGTACTAAATTATCTAAATTTACTAAATTACCTAAATTTTATTAAATCCAAATTCTACGTGCCACGTTAAAGGCGTACGAACGAATATACATACATATACACCGACCGAATTCAGCCCTAAATTTAAACTCGGACAAGTCGATAAAATTCTTCAATAGCGATCTAAATTGGGTTACGTACCAAGAGCGAGGCGTAGCAACGAGCGAAAATTTCAACTGTTCGACCGCGGAGACCGCGTGAATCACGCGGTTCGGAGGAGCGGATTACTGCGCGCTGAGACGCTCTTCCCGTACGCCTTCTATACATAGATGCGTTATTGCGTCGTCGGGACGAAGCGCCGATCGCCGCTGCAACCGAATACAGGCTGTCGTTTACGATATTTTCGGTGTCAAGGTGTACCAGAAGCCCACCAGTGCCACTATCATCAGCCCGGCCTTCATTTTGCGGTGAAACGTTAATTCATTCACGGCACGTACAGCAGGGGGGGAATAACCTGGCCAGCCATGCAACACTGCCACCGAAAAATCCCTCCTACCGAATTAATCGAGCGCTGTTCGTTGCACTTGAACGTCTCGTTGCAACGCGCGAGTCGAAACTCGGAGGGATTGAATCCTGTTGATGTTGAACCAACAAGAAGGAACGACGCGTAACTGAAGACCCCCTCGTCTTGCAATTTTCTTTCCTAACATTCTTCGACATCGTAATTGCGACATTCAGACGTAAAGCGTTGAAAGCGTTGTTTGCAATTTAATATAAATATTTATATTTCGTACGTTATTTATATTTTGTTAACTTGAAGAAAGTGAATTTAAACTTTTCGGATTGAAATTTCACAGAATTGCGACTTGCTCTCTTTAAAAAATCATCGGGGGGTTAAACGAGAAACTGTATTGATTAATTGATTGATTGACTGATAAATTTTGGAGTTCATACTGGGATTCAAGAGTACTGTGTCTTTCGTGAAAAAAAAAATTTTTAATTTTAGAAAGTTGAAATATACTTGCTTGGTTTTTTCTAATTAATTCTCGATCTAAGCGTCTTTATGTAATACTTCTGTTCTGACGTAGAGCAATATTTATAGTATTATTTGAAAGAAATGAGAGATGAGCTTAAGATCATGAAAACATCTGCACTTGAAGAGTGATATCGATATTATTAATTGGTGAGATAATCGGACGTAACGACTGTAAAATGTAAATAAGTTCAAAAAAACGTATGGAACATATATATAATAAACATTAGAATTATTTTTAACATGCAATTAAATACGTTATACGTACGAAATTATTGATTAAGTATTATAAATGACAGTGAGTATTTTCGAAATATGTTTAAAATGATGTAATAAAAATATTATAAATTATAATATATAATTATTTAAAAATATTTTTAAATAATATTTAAAATGCAAAATAGGGAACAGTTTTATTAATATCGATAATATTCCTTGAATATTGATTTTGTTTCTCTGTTTGATTTATCAAATTGTACTAACGCATTATTAATAAAATAAATATTTATAATTTATATATATATATATATATATATATATATAAATTACAAAAGATAATAAATTTATAATTTCTAAAATAAACTAGATGAAAGCTCAAAATGTGTGTGATTGAATGTTTCAACTGCTAATAAAGTGATTCACGTCAGAATTTCAATATACCCGCTCAGTGTAATTAATCTTCAAACGCATCGTGTTCCAGCGTACATTAAAAACGAATGTACCAAGTTAAACAGTACAGGATGTTAAAATCACTGTCGCGCCACGACGGAGAGAAAATGCTGAAAGTCATACGCGATACGATACGCGGGGCGCAAACTAAATATAAACGTGCTCGTTACTAGATACGGGTGTTTAATTTCAGAACAAATAAATTTATCTGCGATTCCACCATATCTTTTTCGATATTGCGAGATAATTGCGAGCGAGTGCCGAATGTAGATGAGCGAAACGTGCTGTGCCCCGCGATAATATATCCCAATATTATTGTAACAAACATTATACCGACTTTGATTTGAAAGAGTCGCTAAAAAAAAAAATCACATTCAACTTTATTCTCGGATCTCGAGTCGTGCCGACCAACTCCAATAAATTGAATCGCGTAAAAAGTGAAATGATGTTTGAAAATTCAAAACACATTTGAAACGAGTTTGACACATTTTTCGAACGATCGAATGACGAGTACGTTTTTGGCCAATGATAGTGAAGTTAACCAGCTCGACCTCAAAGAGGCTCAACTTACGATATTCAAGGGAAAAGATCAGGCGATCAGAAGTTGAAGAATTTAATTAAAAAGAACTATTCACCCTCGAATGGCCATTCATTTGTTCCGTCGGCGTTTTCGACTCGAAAGTCGTCGATACCTCTTCCGTATGCGTCATAATCATGCTCAAGCCGAATGAGAATCAAATGGCGGGAATCTGGTTGTATTTCGATGAGGATTCTTCGTACACTTTCCAGCCAGTTTCGTCCAGCATCATTGTCCTCACATTTTCAAAACAAACGTAGCCGCTCGTTCATGAAATATCTTTCAAGTCTTTTTTTATAATAATGAAAAAAAGAAAACAAAATACGAGCCTGTTGATTCTTCGCGACGCCAATAATAATTCGTTCTCGAGTGGAATCGATGGATATCTCGAAATTAATCAGAAAATCGGCAGATATTCAATTCGTAATAAATAACTCTCGCACTGTTCAGAAAATCCATTCTTTTGCTCTTTATTCGCGATTTAGATTGTACAACCGGCGAAATTCAGGTTCAGAAATTTGCAAAAATCACAATTGCGTTTCACTTCGAACTTCGTCAAGACTTACTCGTCGCGCACCGTCTATTTAAATCTTGTGAACGTTTTCCACTTAGCCTCAGCTTCTCGCTCCTTCGAATCCAGCGAATTCCTTTCGAAATAAATGTTTCTTCGCGAAATTGTTGTAATATCAAATTGATGTTTCACTTTGATTACAGTATCTTATATTATTCCATCGTATTTTCCGTATATGTGTCGTATTATATATCTTTAATGTATTTTCTTGTAGCACGAGCGTACTTAATTAATAAAATTTCGACGAACTTTCAAGTCGAAAAAAAAAAAAAGAATTACTTCTCGAGTTCCTTGTAAAGTTTGTCCTCGCTACCACAGACTCGTAAGAGAACACAAAGTGTCCCGTAAAAAAAATAAAAATTGTCACATCATCTCAAACATCCCAAATCTGTTGTTAATTGATTTCCACTCAATTCTCTCATTAATTGAAAACTTGATAACTTTTAAAAAATTGTCGTCTCCATCGAACGAAGCAACGACAACGAAAACTCGGCAAAATTTCACTCAACTTTCTCTCCTTCTCTTCGTGCCTTCGAAACAGACGTTCCTCAAGATTTCTTCATCAAAAATGCAACACTCCGCGGTCCATCGACGCAAAGTTCACTGTGTATAAAATCTCTCTCTCTCTCTCTCTCTCTCTTTCTCTCGTTCTCTCTTCGTCTAATAAAATTTCAAGTCACGAAATTGGCTGCGAAATTCAAGACGCAACGTGAAAGGGACGTAGGCGAAGACTGTCCCTCCTCGACGGGACCACCATGATATTCGCCTCTCGTGACAGATGAACGGCAAATCGCCGGGTTTCACGATTGCAATTTGCTCGACACACACGAAACGATCGATCAGCGGCGTGCAGCGTGAATGAACGTGCAGCGAAGTTTACGATTTTTCGGGGAACGAAGGTGCAGCGAAGAGCAAAGACAGAAAAGGAGCCGGCGCGACCGGCCGGCTTACACACACTGACTTCTGACTGGTCGAGCTAGTAGGTGACTCCGCGGGCCCCTTCCATAACGCATAGCAACTGCTCGTAAGGCGACTGATAAGTTCTTCTGCATTCTGTTGGGATCGACAGATCATCCAACATCGGCGCCGCTGCCGCGAAACGAAAGGATCTTCTTCCCGAATTTTTTTAATTTTTGCCTCGCTTCGTTGAAAGAGAGAAAATGCGAGGTGATTTTTCACGCGTCGAAAAGGGCTGCGACGTTCCATTTGCTGTGCGATGAATTTGAAGTTGATTCCATTTCATATCTTCCCAATTATTCGGAAAATTACTCGATAAATTGGACCGAGAAAAGTTGGCCAATTTTCTGTTTTTAAAACTTTGACTTACCGACTTAGCGTGATGCATTCTTTCGTTTCTGATTTTTTTTTTTTTTTTATCGATTGAAGATGAGATGTATAGTATCCACAGAATGTTACAGGATTTTTTAAGATTTATTCCATAGAAAAATATGCTTCTTCGCTATGAATAAAACATCTGACATATACAGGGTGTCCCGCAATTTGTGAAGACGATTCTACGTGTAGAAATGTGTCGAAGAGAAAGAATAAAATTTTTTCATTAATGTTACTTCGTTTTCGAGAAAGTCGAGCTTGAAAATTGATCAACTATATGTGGATTTGACTAGTTACATACTGGACAAGCGCGAATAAAGTAAAATACGCAGAATACAATTTAAAAAAAAAATACATTTTAAATATATTTCGTTAAAAATTGCCTTAAATACTTGATTTTCAAACTCGACTTTCTCGAAAACGAAAGAAATTCGATGAAAAAAATCTCTTTCTTTTCGACACATTTTTACATGTAGAATCGCCTCCCAATCGGTTGAACGCGAGACACCCTGTATATTCCACGTAGGAAATTCCACTTTAATCGAGGTCGAGATTTCGTTGTTTCTGGTAATTTCTTAACGAAAAGAAACACGGAACTGTTTCACATTAAACAAGCATAAGAATGTACTCGCGTATTAAAAAAATTGTATGGATTGAAAATTTAAATTCGCTTACTATATGCGTGTACGTGCATTTACATATCCATGTGCATGTAAAATAAGGACTTTAGTAGAAAGTTGACTCGAGAAAAGAGACAGGCTCGTCCAAACAAAGATCAACTGCGTATCTGATGTGCTACAATTGGCAGATTTTTGCTTTGAATTGGTTTATTTATTAAATGTAACAAAACGGACGTACATTTTTGTTAACTTTCATGACCAGAGAATGGCATTTGAAAATGAGAACAGCCTTGATTACAAATTCAAAGTTCTCAAGAACTTCGTAAAAATAAAAATCGTACATCGACGAATATTTGTTTCATTTCATCTTCTATTTCTCCATTTTAATTTTAAAGTCAGTTGTCCGAAAATTCTTGGCCCTTCGAAATTTTCTACAGAGAAAGTTTTCTAGAACAACACGAACGAAGCTGACAACAGAAGATAAAACGTAAAGAGAACAAACGTTGTGACGACTATACTTTGGAAAAAAAAAAAAAAAAAAAAACGTTGAACGAACGATCAGATCGAGGAAAGCTAATAATAACGCGTACGATTTATATATATATATATAAAGAACAGAGGTCCCGCGAATTAAGCGTTTCCTCGCGACGTTGAAATTGCGCCAGCAATTTTTTCGATTATCTTTCACGCGACACTGTTATGTAAATTATGAACTCTCGTGATACTAGTTGGTTACAAAACTTGTCTAGTCTCGTACGCAGTTTGCTTGCCTGCTTTTGCTTACTCCCGCGGCGCTCGTGAAAATCGACTCCGAGCGAAGTAAAATAAACGCCCCAACGATTTCCAAGAGCGAGGCGCCCGCCTAAGGTTCCATTCATGTACCTGGAACGCGGTTTTCTATATTCAACCATTCCCATAAGTTTCTGATAAATTCACGACGGCAGTACGTTCGCGATACGTGCTGAAACGTGGCTTTCACGCGGTGAATTGTAGTTCCCAGACAACATGTTTGTTATTCCCCGCGTTCGCTGAATCCCTAATGAAGCCACTAAAGACCCTAACCAAGAAAACTCTCTCCACCTGGAAATCTCGCGTGACGATTTCAAGCTAATTGCTCGTGTGTCTCGTATTAACAATGTGGTATTTTAAGCTGGAAAAAATGATGACGTCGTCAATTAACGTGCAAATTGAAACGTGCGGTGATGAAATATTGTCATCTGGAATCGAGGATGCGTCCGAAAATTATTCGTCGGATTAGAAGTGAGTCACGTAAGATGTTCTCGACGTTCTTCAAATCGAGATTATATTAAATAATTCAACGTGAAGAATAGAAAGGAATTCGTGGAACGGATTCCTATTTAATTTCCCACGTCTTTGCAATGAAAAGTGGAGGTCACAGAACTGTATAAACATCTACCTAATTTTGACAATCGATGCTTTATGATTGTTCAAAAGAATAGGAAGAGAACTCTGTTCTGAAAAATATTTCCGCTCGAAAGTTTCGAAAGGCAGTTGTTACATTTCAATTGAAACTAGAAAAGTTACGTACATAATGTCAATGAAGAACCTCAACAATTATAATTGTTAATATATTAATATTATATTTTTAATATTATATATTATAAATATAATATTTATAATATTTATACAATAATTTTTATTTTTATAATATGTAAATATTATAAAAAATATATTATTAATGTAACATAATATATAATTAATAATTTATTAATATAATTATTATATTTTTTATAATATTTATTATTAACTTATTTTTATAATATTCATATTTATAATATTTTATAATATATAAATATTGTAAAAAATATATTATTAGTATAATATAAAACATAATTAATAATTTACTAATACAAGTATTATATTCTTTTTATAATATTTATTATTAATTTATTTTTACGATATTCATATTTATAATAACATTTATAATATTTTATAATATATAAATATTATAAAAAACATATTACTAATATAATATAATACATAATTAATAATTTATTAATACAATTATTATATTTTTTTATAATATTTATTATTATTTTATTAATTTTATTATATTATTTTATTACTATATTTTATTATTATTTTATTAATATTTATTATTTATTTATATATTAACAATTAATATACCCAATACAAGTATCACATAATATTATTATTTACATTTTATTAACAACCACGTCATTTTATAATTAAAATACACTTGCGATCGAAAGATATTACCATCTGCAATGGAGATACCGAACGTTAAAAGTGAAAAGCATCCCGAAAGACTTTCAAGGAGCAGTGTACCTCCTAAACTGGTATATTACGGGTGGATCCCCGTAAGAACTGAGTGAAATCAGCCTGTGCGTTTGACGGGTCGTCGGAGCGGTCGTAAATCAACGAAGGATGCAATATTATTAAATTATGCGCGCGCTCGATTCCCGGTATTAAAGAGTGCAGCTCCTATCGATCTTATCGTCCGATTTCATCGATCTTATCGCGACGGTACGAAACGCCTACGCGTTTGTAATCGCGGCTCGACTGTACGCGACCTACGCCAACCGATCGGCCGATCCGGTGCCTAGGCAACCTCGTTTTTCAGCCGAGATCAAAAGAGTAGAGAGAAAGAGAGAGAGAGAGGATCGTGCCCGGCATCGAGCCGCAAATAATGAAATGAGGCGTAAATGCAGCCTCCAGAATGACTGGCCCCCGGCTTCACCCGTGATCGCCAGAGATCCCCAACCGATCGAACGTGCGAGAGATCCATCGATGTCTCCGAGCCACGATGCTCGCGACATGCGATCGTTGCGAGACGAGATTGAATCTTCTGATGGAGAAGAAGATGTCAACTTGGTAAGACCGGACACGTGGAGATATATACAGCTCTGTGCAAAAGTTTCGGATCGTCTACATTGATCTACGCGATCGGGGGGGTTGTTGATCTCGCGGGGGATTGGGATAGTGTTGATCCATTAAGGAACGAGGAATAATTTATCATAAAGTAGTATTATAAAGATAAATTATACGAAGATGGAAATGTACAGCCACGTGCAGAAGTCTTGGATCATGTATGTTATTAATCTTGCGGTTGGATATATACAGCAGAGATACACTTAGGTTGTTGCCCACAGGCAGTATTATTATTAATTTATTAAGCATCGAGAGGTAATTTATCACGAAGATATATATATATATATATATATATATATATATATATATATATCTTTTATCTGGATTTTGAGATTTTACAAAATTAAACTTTTGAACAGAGCTATATATATATATATATATATATATATATATTTTCAGTTTACTTTTATTTACCATAGCGTTATTTGCATTTATTAAGAAGTGACAAGTAATTTTGTAAAATCTCAAAATCCAGATAAAAGATTTTGTATTTTTGGTATCTACGATTTGGAGAGAAAATATATTTATGTCACCTCACAGAGTTTCGTTTTGTTTTATACTATATTACCATACTACATCTATCATACTACATTTCTTCTTTATATTATAGTGTATAGATACATCTTTATATTATAGTGTATAGATAGCATAGATAGACGTATATAATGTATAATATCTGAAGTATGAAAATGGGAAATCGAAGTTTCTCAAAATAATCCAGTAGAACGCTATCTTTTTCAGAAAGCAGAGTATTTTTGAAATTTATTTACTAAAAATTTTCATTCAGAACTTTCTCTCTTTATATCCAGATTCTAAGATTTAAAGGCGATTTTTAAAAAATTATTAGAATCGTCAGATTGTTTAATATTCTCGAGAAGAAAATTCGTTATAACATTCACGATCTCACCGATGCGACAGTCGGGGGGGAAAAAAAAATTTGCGCCTCGCTCCAATTCATACGTAACGCGCATATAAATTCTGCTATTAACGTTTTTAACGTTATCTTTGTATTTAGGTCGTCTCTTATCGCGTACCTATTTCGATACGGTGTGCAGAATGAACTGAATGAAAGATTTTTTTGCTGAAGTCGGCC